CCCCAAAACCCCAAAACCCCAAAACCCCACAAAACCCCAAAACCCCAAAACCCCAAAACCCCAGAGATGGCTAAAGTAGTTGAAATAATTATAATTCAAACCATAACAATAAAGCGACCCATTACCAAAGCATAAAATGGATAACAAAGGTTTTGAATGAATTAACCATAATTACCCTTGACTAGGAGGATGGTTCGTAGATGGTATCTGCATGGCCAGCGAATAGATCTTTCATCTTTCTATATATGTCTCCGAATGCTATAGAGTTTCCATCGTTCCTAATCATCTGAACTCAGTGCATCTCTTCATCTGGCACCTTCAGAATGTTCACGGTCACGTCCACTTGCACCGAATCATCGTTGATGGTTTCAAAGTTGACTCCGTAACATGACTTCGAAAACTTGTGCTTGGAAGCCACTCCGTCAACGAAGTGCGTCAAGTTTCTAAAGAGCACCTCGACGTCCGACTTCGAAAAGAACTGTGACAATTTCCTGGTCTGATGGCTGTACGGCTTGGCCTCTCTCACCACCAGATGCGTGTCATCATCATCTTCGCTGCCGAGGCCTCTGTGGTAGTTGTTGGCGTCCAAGTCATCAGGACTGATGTCGTAATCTTCTTGGGTCGAAATATTCGAAATCATTTCATCTTGCGAATAGTTGTTGTACCGCTTGCTATAATGTTACACATGGGACATTACGTGAACTCGTCTTTGATTTCGTCTTGGGTTGGAGTGGGCCCTGCCATCCATTCGTGCTGCATGATTTCTGAAATGGATAGACGCTTCACAGGGTCTTCTTGCAACAACAAAAACACCAAGTCTTTCAGTGGCTCGCTCAACTCAGCAATTGCATCAGGGCTTTCTTTTGCATGTTCGCTCCAAAAGTTAGCAGCTTGCTGGTACACAATGGCCTTGTAGTACGGGTCGGAGCGCTCTGCCTTGAAGAACGGGTTCTTCTGTGTCACCATTACGAACAAGATCACTCCGATGTTGAAGATGTCGACTGCAGAGCCGGTGTACTCCCCTCCGGCTCTGATCTCAGGAGCCAGGTATCAGTCGGTCCCTACGAGTTATTCTGCAACCTTACCGAGCTGGGTGGATGACTTGTTGAAGATGGCGCTGAACCCAAAGTCAATGATCTTGAGTTCGAATTCAGAGTTCAGCATAAGATTTTCGCACTTGAGGTCTCGGTGGCTAAACCCCATTGCTTGCAAGTGTAGGATGGCGTTTCAGAGCTGTTTGAAGAAATACCTGGCCAGGTTCTCGTGAAACATACCTGTAAATGAAATGAACTCGAACAAGTCACCGCTGTCACAGTACTCTTGCACAATGGCGACGGCTGGCGCTACAGTTCCATTCGGAAGCGTGAGCTCCATTTCGCGATTATACTCGTAAAACTTGGCAACATGTTGGTGATCGAGTGCATGCATAATCTCGGCTTCTCTCTGGAACATATCGATGTTGCTTTTATCGAGTATGTCGGGCTTCAGCAGTTTGATCGTGACGAGTTGCTGCATTGGCTCATCGCACTCGTCCGAATGAGGCGACGAAGCCATTGCTAGAAACACCCTATACTCTTGGTCACACGCCTTCAGAGCTGGAGAAACACAAAACAATAATTAGAAGGAATAAAAGCTTACATTCCACTAGCTCCGCCTCCGAGTTCTTGAATAAGTGTAAAATCACCTGAAATTGAATATCCAGTCAGGGTTTTAGGAAGTTCCATTTTCAATATTAATTATATACTTTGGGGTTTTGGGGTTTTGGGGTTTTGGGGTTTTGGGGTTTTGGGG